ACGACGCAGCAGGCGGAGCGGGCGGTGACGCGCATGGTGATCACGATGGTGACGGCCTTTCTCATCTGCTGGCTGCCCTACACCACGTTTGCCCTGGTGGTGGCCACCAACAAAGACATCACCATCCAGCCGGCTCTCGCATCCCTGCCCTCCTACTTCTCCAAGACGGCCACGATTTACAATCCAATCATCTATGTCTTCATGAACAAACAGGTGAGAGAGAAAGCTGTTAGCTAACGAAAGCACAGCTTCACTGGGGCTTCTGGAGAACAACTTAATGGGCTCATAAAACGTGGAGGAACATCTATCCTATCTGGAAGTGTAAACGCAGGCTCGATCCGGGAGTTGCTGTAGGAGCAGCAAGGTTTTGGGGAATAAAACGGAAAGAGAGGGAGCAGCCTCTGAGCCCAAACAAGAGCTCATTTTCTGCTTCCATGATTTTATGGGGTCAGGCAACTTAATTTTAGATCACAAAGCGCTCATTGAACACACAAGGCAAACAGAATGAAACTTTTATTGCTAATAAACTGCCAGGGTCTGCAAGGAGTTGGGCTAGGAATTGATACAGATCTCACCCAAAACAGAACAAGTGTCCACCCCCAGCCTCTGCCTCCGAGTCTCGAGGTGGGCACCTGCTTTCTGCCACGACACGTAACCTGCCCCTTCCCTGCCCAGTTTCAGAGCTGCCTGCTGAAAATGGTGTGCTGCGGCTACCACCCCTGGGGGACGAGAAAAACCGCTCCGGCCGCAGCCGGCCCCCGCGCAGGCGTCGCTGCAGATGGGCTGTGGAAGAAGGTGACACCGTCTCACCCCGTCTAACTGCTACCAGATCCTGCCTGCACCCAGGTCAGCTTCGGGCTCAGCCTGTCCTGCCCAGCCTCGTCCAGCGCCGGCACAGAGAAGGGCCCGGTGCTGGAGCTGCTCCCACGCCCGGGAGGTGGGTGGCTCTCGGAGAGGTCCCCAGCAGCCCCCATGGTGCTCCCCAGAAAGACACGATGTTGTCTTCTTGCAGGAGAGGAGCCACCCCCTCATGGGATAAACTGCAAACTTTGATTTTGCTCTCCTAAAGAAACACCCCTCCATTCCAGCCCCTCACCTCAGGGGATCGGGAGTCTTTCTAGAACAAAACAACAACAGTAATTTTTCCTCGATGCAAAGCATCCCAAGTTGCTGCTCAGCCCCGGGGCCAGGCTGAACACGGCGCGGCTGGGATGCCACCTCCAGAGCGGTCGGTAGGGCAGGGCCACGTCCCTCCCATCCCCAGACAGACCCAGTCCCATTTGCATTGCCCAGTCTCGCCATGACGTTCAAGGTCACGCTGTGAAACTGGCAAAAATCCAGCAGGTATGTTGAAGTGCAGACTGCATTAATAAACATTAATAAACGTTGACATGCATCTGTTTTACTGGCTGATAGAGGGTTCAACAGAAAACACTTTACCTCCTGCTACTACAGCTGGCACTTCTCTCGTGGCAAGTGCCACATATGCCACCGCAACAGACAGCAAGAAAGAAAACCAGTTCAAAGACACAAACCTATATATTCCTTCTTATATTTAAGGCAATAAGGAAAGGTCTTAAATCCACTGATTTCCCAGCAAGGGTGAAAGCACAGGTTGTAACAGGCCCCGAGGACAAGGCACAGCAGAGCCACTGCTGCCCAAACGGCCGGGACATTAACAGAAAGCAAAAGACGCCAAAGCAAAAATTAAAAGACAAAAAAACCTCCGTGGGGTTCCACAGCTACACACCTGATCCCCAGTCTCAAAACACAATGTTTATCTACACCAGCTGCAATTAGGCTTCGGGACAGGGATGCAGTTTATGTGATTTAGGAGCCTATGGATAAGGCTTCTAAGCACAAAGTTTCGACAGCCCTGCAGACAGCAATCCCCTGAGACTCTTTTATCAAATTCCTCTACCTTAAAAAATGCTGTCAGCAGCTTGGCTGCCTCCGTAGTTAATTGTCTTTCAAAATTTGATCCTGAACACTTAAATTGCTTTCACACGGTCACAAGGTTTAAAGGTTCGCTCTCCCCTCCGCACATCATCCGCAGGGACGATCCCCACACACGCCTCGCTCCTCTCCTCCTCCCACCATCTTCTGCAGCTCTTGCTGTTGCAGCGAGCCTGTGAAGGGCTTAGAGGGAAGCAATGCTAAAAGTTGCTCATCACCTCACGAAATCGCCTCACCAGCGTGCAGTCACAACCCGGTAACAGGCAGGCAGAAAGGCCATTTGGACTGGCAGATTACGATATTTGGGGGAACAAGGTTTTTTCTCTCTGACTGAAATTCTCTACTCCAGAACAAGAGCAAAACGGAAAACCCAAACCCCAGACAAGTCCCGTGACAGGTACAAGGGAGCTGAAACATGGCTGCTCAGAGAATGAACATTTGCTTTTCTTCTTGTCTTCACCCAAACCGCAGCACTCTGCAAGCGCCTCCAGCCAAATACAGCATCTCTGGGCAGCGCCGCGGCCCCGGTGTGGGGGCACAGGACCCCATCCTCACCCCCGTCCCCACGTCTCGACCTCCCTCTCTGCTCCCTTTCCTACACGCAAAGCGGCTCGCGTGCTAGCGGCTCAGAGAGGAATTAGAACAGCTCAGCATCACTGTTTCAATTTAATTAATTGGCCTTTCATTTTCTGGGAAGCTGAAAAGCAGCATTAGATGGGCCCCCTCTGATCTCTGCTTTCACTGGTCCTTGTTTAATTGTTCCTGTTAATTACAGCTGTTGTGTCCATGCTTTATGTTATTAGGATGATTTACTTTCATGCTGGAAAAGTACAAGCAGCTGAAAAACTGAAATCTCTTAACTGCTGTGCTCCGGTCTCGATAAGGAGAGCAGACAGGCTATGGGACTACTTGAAAGGCTCGCTACCAAGAGAAATAAAAATTCTCCACGTTAAGATTAAAAAAAGATAGGGAAATGGTTCACAGTCTGCTCACCATTTGGTCTGACAGATAAAATAGAAAAAGAAATCCAAGCAGCTAAGGAGATTTCACATGTTGCAAACCAAAGTGATACATATTAGTTGCACGTAAAAATGCACGTGTGCTTGCTCTGCTCCACCACACTGCTGCAGCCCTACAAGTTTTAATTACTTTAGTTGAGCAAGTCTATGAAACATAACGAAACATTGCCCAAAGTGAGAGGGGATGACCCTCGGCTACTCGTCAGTTATGGGTCACAAGCCACTGAGGACAGAATCACACAATAAATTTGCGATTTAACTTTTGCATGCGTTTGTCATTGGAGCCTGTTGCAAGGAACAGAGGGTAACGTAACACAACGCTTTGCATAGCCCCAGGCCGATGTAAAGTAGGATCTTATTCCAGCAGCTTACATCAAGAATATAAAGTTCTTCTGCCTGCAGCGAGGATACAGAACTCACACAGAGAGAAAACCGGGTACCTGCAGTTGGTACGAGCCTGGGTTAGAAAATATTAAACTTTTGCCTGGACAGAACTGTGTAATGCACAACAGCGAGCCCCATTCCCCATGCACTGGCTCTGCTGCTAACCTGAGGTGCAGAACGCAGACTGCAGCCTCCTTGATGCAGCTTCTGCTCTAGCTCTATCACTACCATGACGTGACTAAACGGATGAAAGATTTTTATTTTTTCTTGATCTCCTCTGAAGAAAGCTCCCCCAAGTCTGCCAGTTTGCAGCATCTTCCCTGGAGTAGCTCTAGCGGTATCTAGTTGTGTACGTAGTCTGGTGATGGGAAACATAGTTAACAACAAGTAAAAAACCCCACAAAACCAAAAAAGAACCCCAAAAAAGAACCTCCAAAACCAGAAAAAAAGAACCACATGGCAGCACAATAACCTTGGAAACTTTTATTAGTATTGTTAAACCAAATTAACTATCAGTT